GAGCTACCACACTGGGAAGGGTGAAGACAACTGGGTTGCCCGGCCCTGGCCACGAGGTGTCCCTTATTTATTTTTCAGGGAGTTGGCAACCCTACTTAAGATACAAAAACAAATTAACTCGGAGGATCCATCCTAGGATAGGGGTTAGCAGAGGATACGACAGAATCTTTTTACTTTTGCCCTATTGGATAGTAATAGTGAAGACACGTAGCAAAGGGTTGCAGAACAGACCTGAACCCGGGCCAGCCGCTCTCAGCCATATGGCATATCGTCGGCTACTCAGATCTCTTATCTTGAGCTATATTTAAGCATTTCAAATTATTTCCACCTACAAGATTAAACATCATTAATCCATAACTTTGATTATAATGTTTATTATTCTGTATAATGAGTATGATTGCTTCACGTACTTTAATTATATTTGCCTAAATCTTTAGTACTCTTAATCTATTTCAGTAAGATAGCGGCTTTTACTTAAGTTAAAGTTTAGAGAGAAAAAAGGAGGCTTGAATGTGTAGGAACCTTCGTTTTCTTGTACTGAGTTTCAGGGGGGAACAAAACAAAGATCGGACTCACTAGCATGTAGCTTATGGAGACGATGCCCATCCCTCGGTATGTTTTTTGCGAACCGTGTTGTGTTCTGTGAATTTTGAGGAGCCACAAGCTGACAAATGGAGGATCTCAGCGTTTAATAAACTCACTGGAGCGCGAATCTGAGCCGCCAATGAAGCTAAAACACGAAGATACGGAAGTAAATGTGGAGGGGCTGCCGCAGGAAGGCAGGGTGAACATCGGTGCTACCTTCCCCAGGTGGAAAGCACTGAAGAGGGACAAATGTTTCCAGACTGACGCTGAACTTGCGTGTTTTCTGCTGGACAGGTAACCTCTGCTACCTATGGGGGAAATATCTTAACCCCGTTGGGATACAGATTGTACGTATGATGCTCCAAAAGTTTAAACTCAGACTTGGGGTGTAACAGGTGTAAATGCGTCATGCTGCTTTTCTCGGGTATATGTATCAGTGTGAGGTGAAGTGACTCTGGTATAAAGGGCAGATTGGAGCCAGTTTTTAACTCTGAAGATTTTGTGCTCAGCCTGTTCAGCATCAGCTGCGACAATAACTTTCATATGAAGGACTGATTGGGGCCAGTTTTCAGCTCAGGAGGTTTATAGACAAATATGTTGGGAGTCCAAAAGCAGCATAATTTCATTTAGCAGGAAAGTAGGGTTTAAGTGTTTTGGGTTCTTGTTCATAACTAAAAGCAAAGTGGAGTGGGAGAAAGATAGGTAGATGCCTTAACCCAGACCTTCCCAAAGTGTGTGTGTGTGTGTGTGTGTGTGGG